ATCATTCTCACTTTTCTTCATTGATACCAAAGTTCTCTAATTCTTGCAACACCTCAGTGATCACATTTTCCAAGGCATCACATCTTTCACAGTTGTTTTCGTGATTGTGGTTACACTCTCTGGACGGGTAATAAATTTGAGGAGGTGGTCCACTTTTGCAGCGTCAATTTTTGTGCGGAAGATTGGCTGTTCTGGGATGGACTGGCCCTGACCTGTGTGGATCACATGTTACCGCGTGTGGTCAATGGGCCATTTGAAAGCCTGGGAATCATTTGCTGGAGTTCAGCACAGCTAAAATCATTTGCAAAGAGCGTCAAAATCTGTCTCTTAGTCTGTCTCTGATTCAGCCTCATTATGAACTTTAACTAAAGCATCAATAATCATAGAATAATTATTGAATGATTTTATTTTTGGGGAGCTCCCAGGATTTGGACTATCTAACAAAATTGGGGCTTTACGCAGAGTGCTCCATGTCTGGTTTTCTTGACCAGGACACATGACGAAAAGCATACTAGTAACTGCTTCAGTAGTCTTCTGTATGTAGTAGCGTGTTGGGTATTTGGGATATCATCCCAGGAAGTGTTAAGGGTGGACAATAAGGGGCTGTGCCAACCACTCACGATACTTCAGCAGCCTCATTAAAAAATAATTAAAAACAATTGCTGATCCCCAAAAGGGTAAGTGCAAACAGGACCCTAGACCCATGCAAGGCACTGCCCTGTTGTTACTTACAATTACAATTTCAATTTCAATGCTGTTAAATAGCTCATTTACCATTGAAAAAAAAATTAATTCAAACCTTGATATATATTAACAAGAGTAAATAAAAAAGCACAAGAAAGTGGATGTGCACAGTCACTTTGACCTGTGACAGGGACAGGTCATCACTAATGTGCTCGTCCAAGATCTTTCCACCTAACCGGAGTGGTGAACATAGTTTTATAAACAAACTGCTTAAAAGACTGTGTCCTAGATAAAATCTACTAGGGGACTAAAGTGAACAAACAAAATATCATAACTTAGTAATACAATTAAAATAGGAAACCTTAAAAGTACTGGTTCTGCAAAGAGGAGTTTTAAGACTGAAAGGATTACTTTGTCTGGTGTCTTTCACCTCTGCCTGGTTTTCTCAGACAATGATTCTTAAATTGATTATTTCGCGTTTCGCCTTCGTAGAGTAGATCTCGTAGCTTGGGTGTAAGACTTTCATTGATGTATAGCTTGTTATTATGCAGAAAGCTTAAGTCCTTAGCAGTCTTGGTGCTAAATTTGCGCTTGCATTGTAAAGTCTGTCTCTCATATCTCTTCGGCAGAATTTCACAATGATTGGAGGAATGGTTCCTTCCCTTGACAGCAGTCGATGACTGGTGGAAATGTCGTCATCTTGAAGAGGGTGCTCAGGATTGACAAATTGTGGAACCTTGAGGACGATCTGATGTGTTGCTTCATCTTCTAATACTGGGATTCCATGAAAGTCTAACATACAGCTGTACCACGTCAAAGGTACTGCTTATGCTTTCTACCTCCTGTTCATTTGCAATGATGTTGTTGTCCAGTTCGTCAACTCATGTTTGCAGACTTTTGTCTTCCTTGTGAAGCTCAATGTTCTCCTCCTTTAGTTCTTTGATTGATTTGAATGCTTGATCGAAGTTCGTGCTCATAAGGCCTTGGCTCTTTTTAATTTTGTTGATTTCTTGCTTATATAATTTATAGTGCCTTAGCATCAGATCAGTGAGTAGGTCAGAGTGTTGTCTAATGTGGTGGTCTATTAGATCTTCATGGCTTTCACGCCATTTAGTTGGAGACGACATATTGCTTTCACCTTTGGTTTCCTCGGTTTCCTGAATTACGACTTGGCTTTATTCTTTGCTTTTGGAGGCATGGCCCTTCTGAGTCTTTACAACAACAGCACAGTGAGAGGCACGTCAAGTGTATCTTTACAGAGACAAGTCTGCTGATCTGAAGAGGAAAGCTTTTGATTGTTCTAGTGTGCAAGTGAGAGCAAGCTCTTCCCTTTTCTCAAGCAATTTATGTCTGATCTACATTTGCACAGGCAGCATCTCTCATCGAATGTTCAAAAGCTGCCCCCAAATTGCAATCTTTTCCTTTTTTCAATTTCGTTACAAGCTGAAAACAGTCTCTCACCTGGCCGATGTTGGAGTCGGTGAATTTTTATGGCAAGCAAAAGCAAAGTTTTGACTTTGGGAAAGGAAATACCCATTCAATGCTGTGACACCTGGGTGGTAGTCAGTTGCTTCGCTGGTGTCTACAAGAGTAGAGAAGATTTGTTGTACATCTGGGTCAGCTCCATTGGAGTAGCAGTAGAGTCAGTGTCACTTGACAAGCGACCGTGAAAAACTGAGGTCTGCAAACGCTAAATATCATTATTTTTATTTTTCTCATAAAATAAATAAAGGAGACTTACCTTTGATGTATTCCTGTGTTTTTTGGTGTGAATTCATCGATTTAGTCGGTTTTTTTGGGCTGTTATATTGTGTGAGCCCTGTCACTCTCTTCATAATATGAAGCAAAGGCAGCACAGAAAAAAACAACCAATGGTCTGGACCTTGTCTACTCGAAGACAGTTTGCAGCCCAAAAACCCATCGAATTGCAGATTTTTTTGACCTGAGGCATAGTTCTATCATCGCTACACCATAGTAAACATTCAAAAACAAAATAGCCACACGCAAGTTGCTGGAAATGAGCATTTTCTTGTGCCATGCCAAAATACATTTTTTCTCCAGACGCTGTGATTTTGAGAGTGGACACGGCGTTGGTACGAGGTCAAGTATTCCTCGACTGAGGGTCAACAGTCAACAAAGAAAACCTGTTGTGGTTTTTTGTTTTTTCATGTGGTGTATATTATGATTTTAACATTTTGTGTTTTAAGAATTTTCCAAAATATAAGGGAATAGCAGATTATTGCCCACAGTTATGGAACACGAATCTAATTTATCACGCTGTTGTCGTGTGTCGACTAACAAAAACTCAGTTTTATCATCATTTATCATCAACCAATCTTGAATCATCCATTTCCTCCCCGCGTCAGTGCACTTTTCCATAGCTTGTATAGCATCAGCTTGAGCAGTGTTGCCAAGTGGTTTAAAACTCAGATACAGCTGCGTATCTTCAGCGAAACAGGGAGCATCGGGAAGATAATGTTCCACGATCTTAAACAGCTTGGACGCATATATTATGAATAGCAAAGGCCCTAAACATGAGCCTTGGGGTACCCTGCAGTTCAAGTCAAAAGGACGAGAAAGAACTTCATGTAGAGAAACGCGCTGACTTCTATCAGACAAGTACGATCTAAACCAATTCAGAGCAGTCCCACGTATGCCAACCTTGTCAGATAGCCTCTCTAAAAGTATTCGATGATCAACAGTGTCAAAGGCAGCACTGAGATCCAATAAATAATTGTATCACTGTACAACTCTCAAGTAGAAAAACAAAATATCGTTCATCACCTTGATAAGTGCAGTTTCAGTGCTATGGAATTGCCTGTAAGAAGATTTGAAGCGTAGGAAAAATAGCATTTGAAACCATGTGATCATAAACTTGATTAAAAACGACTTTTTCAGTCAACTTGGATACGTATCGTAAGTTACTAACTGGTCTGTAATTTTTGTACAGCAAATCCAATCCAGGTTTCTTCAAGATAGGATTAATAAGCCCACATTTCCAATCATCCTCAAATTCTCCAGAATTAAGAGACAGGTCGACCATTTTAGTAATGACTGGTAATAGCACATCTGCACAGCTGATTACCATAGGTGTTGACAATGGATCAAACATACAGCTTTTCTTCGGAGAGCAGCCAATCAACTTACTAACTGCACTTTCAGTTAAAGGGATAAAGCTGTCCAGTGTTCTAGTTGGTAACGTCAGATCAACTCATTCTTGCTCTAATATCTAGGCTTGGTCTTACTTTGCTCTACAAAATTGGAAAGACAGTCTAGCCGTGTCTTTATCAGGTATAAAGACACTCGTTAAACACTAATTTCTTTTGTTTTTCCTTTATGAATTATTAATGAGTTTTGAAATACCATGTACAATGTCAGGAGTCACTCGATAAAATCTCAATTTCATTGATATCTTCATTGTTTTAACATTAGAGTCACCCTCACTGGCCATAAAATATCGTAGCCAATCAATAAGTAGGCAATTCATTGCACGGGACAGAACAGGCAGAACATAACAGAAACTGTTACCTTCAAAAGAAATCAAATCATTGCATACTCTAGAGTGGGGCGTATGATTCAGAACAAATAATTCATAACTTTATTTTAGACCTTGACTTAACAACAGTTTTGATTCCATAGACCTTTCGCTTCTGTTTAAGTTCTGTGTCTTGAAAAAGCAGTTAATCTACCCAACATTGACGAGAATATCAAAGCAACTCAAGAAGAGAGAGAGGCATTAAATATGCAACAACGTAAAACACAAAGTGATATGCGTGGCAAGGAGTTAAGTGGTTCACTTAAGGATTTTGTCTACCTACTCTAAAGTTAGAGCCACCACACTTTTGTTCCAGAAAACTAAAATAATGTCAATGATAAATATTAGATTATTTAAATATTTTATCGAATTAAGCATCTCCGTTTCATGTCATCGCGTAAAAGTCACATAACAAATACAAAAAAACTCAACAAAGAATTTTCGGAAAAAAAATTAACTAAGACTTGCACAATAAAAGCTTAATTGATTCAGTTACAAGAAGAAATATTGTTGTCCCTTTTGTTTGGTAAAAGGGACAGTAGACTCTATTCAGCAGTTGCATTCTTGGATAACCTCCGTTAACAACCTAATAAGGTCTGCCTTTCTATCTTTTACTCGGAAAGGTACTTCAAAGTGCCGAAGAATAGTCTTGAGCATTGCAACATGGAAGGCCTGTAGCTTTCCTTCCTTGTGATAGGCGCAAAGATTATGTGTCATATACTATCGGATGCTCTAGTCCAATTCTGCTTTGAATATTGTCAAGCAAATTGTTGCGATTAGAGAGGGCGTCGATGTCGTCATTCTCATCTGCTGTAATATCACATCTGTTCCCTTGAAGTAGCATCCTGAGCACGAGTGCTCTGCCGTGAAGCGAGGCGTGGAGCCACTCCTCTCTTTGAAACAATCTTTCATTCCATTCATTTCTGGCATCGTTCATTTTACGTGCGATCTTTTCTGGATTGGCTTTTTTGCCCGTTCTTTCTCCCATTTCAAACTTTGTTGTAAGGTACCGTCTCACGTTCTCAGAAAAACGAACTCTGCCAGTTCTACCTTTCTTAAGAGCCCATCCGATACTTAGACAAGAATTTGTGCTGTTAACAGTCACCCCAGTGGAGGATTTGTTGCTTGTTAACTTCTAGTTCTCAATAGAAGAAAATTTTTCAGCTCAGTTTTTCAGTACTTTGTCATAAAGACTTTCCGACTTCCTGTTATCATGTATTTCTACGTCTGTATGAAACTCAAGTTCAGAGAAAGAGTCAAAAGTGCAGTTACAGCCTTCTTCAGGGCACACAAACATCGATTGCTGATCATCAATTTCAACGTGGTCTTTACTTGCTTGACACTTTCTTGGGCGATGAAGGTCTCTTATTTCTGTTTTGGTGAAGAATCCTTTTCCCTCCATTAATGATATATTTGTGCAGCCCTGGTGCCGTATGTAAAAAGATTGCCAAGGGATAAGCCTGCCGACCCCAACAGCATAAGCTTTCCACACTCTTATCCCACTCTCTTTGTATCTAAAGTTGTGCAACTCACTAAATTATTTTATCTTCTGAACCTCAAGAATTTTGACTCATCCAAAATGGCTATAGCCCCTGTTGTTCCTTTGACAGGCCGTTCCTTAAGGGCCTCGTGCATTGTTCCTACGTTCATGATGTCATGGCCTTCCGCGCAGTACTTTCTTATGGCTGCTTTCATGGGACAAAGCACCCTGTCACAAACATCCTTTCCTTGCTGGGGTTCTGAAAAATCATAACGCGCAACTGTAATTGCCATGTGATCTCCAATATCTTTCACTGCTGTTATTAGGTGATTGCAATGGTAGCAGCCAGCCCCATCAGAAGATAGAAATGCGTGCTTAACATTTAGAAAATCTATTTTGATGCTTTGAAAAAGGTTTTCTAAAATAGATACATCCGCATACCAATCTTGACAACACGAATCTTATAAATGGGCATACGACAGGACCTTAGCTTTCTGCGTTTCTTGGTCTTTTGAGATCACACTGCTTAAATGCTAACTAAGGCCTCTATTAGCAAACCATTCACTTTGTTTTTCTCTGTATTTCATTTGAAGAAATTTCATCGCCCAGTCAATAACAACAAGGACTGACTGACTGTCAAGACTTTGGAGGGCTTCTTGTTCAGCAGATTCTTGGTTGACAGAGCGTAAGGCATGAGATTCCCAAAGAAAAATGCAATTCTTAGATCTTTCAAAATTGTAAAGAAGATCATACTTTTGTTCTTGGCTGTAAAGATGGCTGGAGTGTTTCTTTATACTTTCTTCCATCTCGTCTAACGTTGCCTTCAATTGTTTGCACTGTTCACACACCATATTGTGTGAGTGTGAGCACTGATGGTTGAAGCATTGATCAACTGGATCGCTTAACGCAAATTTTCTGCAGTGATCTGCGCCTTCACTCCCCTCTGCTGAACAGTTCACTTTAAACTCCGTCTTCAGGTATCTTTTCCCATCGTTCAATTTCTTTGCCAGTTCTGTAACTCTTCTTTTGTCGACACCAGCCTGATTCAGCTGTTCTAGAATACTCAACAGCCGCTCAAAAGATGCGACCCCTTCTGCTGCAATGTTGTCCAGACCACTGAGAGACTTCTGCTGTGAAGCCTCTCTCACTTCAAGAATGCGACAAAGGGTTGAGCGGCTAGCCGGTTCAACTGATTCTTCTTTACAATGTCGAAGGTACTGCATAATCATGGTCGATCTAGTCACGGTCTGGATTACGTTGGGCATTGTTATTTTGCCTCCCCCATCTAAGGTCAGTGTTCGCATTCCAAAGGCGACGTCTTGGTAGAAATAAAGACGGTTTACAAAGTCTATAAAGTGGTCGACTTTGTTTGTGTCCAGACATACTCGATGGCTGAATACTTTTGGGACATTTGACCCAGGCCCTCGTTTCCATTCATGCAATCTCGCCCTTTTTATTTGTCTCAAACTTATCTTTTCATAAGGCTCGTGGAATTTCTGTAACAGCTTCATGGTATGCCGGTAAGCGTAGATGCTGATTATTTGAATTTTAACATTTTTTGTCATGGCATCTCTATATGGAGACATCAAGGCAATATGATCCTCTGTTGGTTCATCAAGATCGTTCGCGGTAGGCAGGTGTATCGCTTAAAATAGCTTTTCGCTGTCTTTCGGAGCTATAACACTTCAGATTACTTCACATGCTTTCGTTGCTTTCTCTATGCAAGTGTTTCTTTCATCCGGTATTGCTTCCTCCCATGTCGTGGACAGTTGGAATGTTAGTGGCATGAGGTCTTCCCTTTTTGAATGTCTAGCTATTTTCGCCATTCCTTCGTTAAAATCAGCAACGACGTCATCGGATACTTCAGGAATTTCGTCTGTATGTACGTCTTCCTGCGAACTACCACTACCAACCCCACTCCAACATCCAGGCGTCCAGTTAGCGCCTGCAAGCCTGTCCGTTTGTGGGGTCTCAGGTGCGAAAGTTTCTTTTAGCAGCCTGATAGAATAAAAGGCGTCTTTAAAATTTGTTTTTTTAAGACTGCACTACAGTTCGCCAAGAGTTGGAAACAAAACATTTTGGCACTTTTGGAAAGTGACATCTTAAGTAAACTGACATATGTTATGGACACAATATTGCGTCACCCTTCATAAAGTGCTGCCCCTATTTAAGCCCCCCACCCCCGTGAAAGCAAGAAACTGCAACCGAACATGACACTCTTCCTAAAACAGTGTGGGAAACTTATTTTTCTGCCTAGCACTGTTTTGTAGTTCGGAACGGTGAAAGTTAGCAAGCCCATTTTTTTTCCACCAAAAGTAACCATTTTTTTTATAAATCTATGAGGATTTTTAAGTGAACGCGGCCCTCAAAATAATCGCATTCCACAGATGAGCGCCGCAGTTGAGTCGCAAAATCGGAATGATAAATGCCGCAGCGCATAATTTAGTAAACCTGGTGTGTACCTTTGGTCCTGAAAGGGCCCAAATGCTGATCTTTCAGAAAAGTATTTAGATATCCCAAGACCTTTAAGGGGTTTGTTCAGAGGTCAATTTTTTACATCATCAACACGGACAATGCAGGCGTCTATAAGGAGAGGTAGATGGCCGCCAACAACGATCGTTTACCTGTTTCTTAAGCCGTAAGCTGCAGTACTGTGATGCACATTCTCATTCTTCTACTTTTGTCCATCACTTCCATATGTTTGCTTCTACACTTCCCACATATTGCTGAATAGAAAAGATTGAGTGCACTACTGAGTTCATCATGGTCTTGCAATTTTTATGACAACAGTAACAGTTACAGTACTTTGTCATCATCATCGTCGTCGTCATTATCATCAAAAATTTTTCCATATTAGTTCCACTTCACTGAGTCCAGACTTTGATAGATGACAGGTTTCAAGCTGAGTCGTAATTGTGTCCTGACATTCATGTACTTTAACCATTTGGGACAAATTGCGTGAACTTCCACACGCTATTTTCTTTATTTGCATAAGGCTGCACGATTCGAAATTCATGTTGAAGTTGTGGTATCAGCGCTGTAGTATTTGTGCCTACCAACTTCGCTGCCAACTGGCTGTGTAAGAGGGTAGGGTTGAATCCCGGACTGTGGACCAAAGAGCGTGTGGAATAAAGCTGACCACTCTCAATAGAAGAAACAGACAGTGACAGGACGAAACCATCTTATTGAAATTTCATTAGGAAAGGTCTTTAAATTAGATAAAAATGCGTGCTCCTGTTAAGTGATAAATAAAGCAAAACTATTTATTCGCGGTCCGCATTCCAGTTTTTGTAGTTCTTGTCCAAAAGTTTCTGACCTGTTTGCGCATATTTAAGAACGCTGTGAAAGATTTACTTTTTTAACATCTAACATTCATTTTTAAAATGTGATGGAGATAAAGTTGTATCAAATACTGGGTAATGCAGCTGCTTCACACTGGACCACATTTTAAAGTAAAAGAGGTTTGGCTCTGAAAAGAAATTTGAAATCTGCATCTTGACAATTTAAAGAACACTGCACTTTAACACAAATGTTGGGATAACTGGGTATTTTATCAAGCTCATAACTGCATCTTACCTACACCTGCGGAATTTTGGAACAACAGGTATCATTGAAGAAGGAAGAAGAGAGAGATACATTAGTCTTTGGTTGGAAAATAGAAGACGTGGCAAATATTTGGATAACTTGACGAGAAATTTTTCTGTCAAAGCAGCCGGTGTCACGCAATGAAAATTCAGCATCAATATGCAAATTTGAATCGAAAACTTTAATTCTGAACCGCCTTGTGCCACAAGTTTTTTTGCATAAATTGATAGAATACCTCTCTATCTTTAACTAAAACATGTTTTTAAGTCTAGGTTAGGTGCCACTTTTAAGAATTTTGTGAAATTTCTGAGGGATATTTTGGTGCAGTTTGCTTACTTAATTGAATTACGAGAATAAAGATAACCTGTTTTTGCTGATTACAGAGAGATATGGCTAAATCGTACTGGAACAGTAAGAAGAAGTAATATACTTCCAAATGAGTGCAAATGGTGTAGGTTTTAACGGCCCGCAGTAGCTTTTAACGATCCTTGAAAAACCTGAATAACAGCGTCTAAAATCTGCATATTTTAGCCGGTAACGGTCGTTCAGAGATGAAATGCTTATAATGGCAGTAAAATAAACTATTTCCTCATTCTAACTACATTTTCATTATAAGGATGGATAGTGGTATTGATGATATAAATATAANTAGGTTAGGTGCCACTTTTAAGAATTTTGTGAAATTTCTGAGGGATATTTTGGTGCAGTTTGCTTACTTAATTGAATTACGAGAATAAAGATAACCTGTTTTTGCTGATTACAGAGAGATATGGCTAAATCGTACTGGAACAGTAAGAAGAAGTAATATACTTCCAAATGAGTGCAAATGGTGTAGGTTTTAACGGCCCGCAGTAGCTTTTAACGATCCTTGAAAAACCTGAATAACAGCGTCTAAAATCTGCATATTTTAGCCGGTAACGGTCGTTCAGAGATGAAATGCTTATAATGGCAGTAAAATAAACTATTTCCTCATTCTAACTACATTTTCATTATAAGGATGGATAGTGGTATTGATGATATAAATATAAGGCAAAAGTGTTTTCGAGTCTGAAATCGAGTGGAACGCTTTTAGGGACATTGCCCCTTAATTCTTCAAAGTCTTGAACTTCTCTTTCTTCTTTGCCGTTTTCTTCGATATTGAGGGAGGCAAACTTGTTAATCACTGGCTTAGGAAACACTCATAAGTCTTGATGTGAGGCGTTTGTCAATGTTACATTGGTCAATAATCGGGGGAACTGCTGTTGAAGGCTGTGTTAACCCACATAGAGTGAGGCATTTTCGCAGAGAACAAGGCTATAAAATGTGACTTCGCTGTCCCCATGGGGTACCTCCATCTCATCGGTCCAATAGATTATGCTTTGTTGATGTAAGAATTGAGCCTGTATTTCTGCAAATTGGTGATTTGTTAACTCTTTATAGAACAGCTCACTTTGTTGCAATTGGCCATCTAAGTCTTGTGTGAACCTTAACGGTTTTTTTGTCCATGCTTCCTCCAGCTCTTGTTATGACAGCATGTACCTGGTATGTGTTCAAAGTTATTAGTTTACATGCTTGTGAATAGGCTGGGACCAAATAAATTCAGTTGCTATGGTAATCACATTGACCCAATCAGCTGGCCCCATTGTGAACTCAGAGGACCTTTTGGCACAATCTCAGTCATGTCAGAACTTTTCATAGAGTGTCTACGAAAATGCTTAGTGCTTTAATAAACGGCATTAACAATCAATGACTAAGGCCATTTTTTACTCCAGCAATATCCCAGTTTGTTTGCCAAATTTTGCACAGTGACTGTTCAAATTTGCAGCAAGTGGGAGAGACTCTTGTGTTCATGTTAATACAGGAAGGTTAGTTGCACTCACAAGAAATGTTCAATCATTGTATAGCATGGATGGAGAAGATGCTTTATGGAGGGAACTGCATGGGTCGTCTGTTGAGGAGGGAAGGTTGGCTTTAGCAACAATGCTATTGTTGGACAAGGAAGTTCGTGTGTGGTAAAAAATTGACTGCTAAACCAACAAGGGCAGTAAATGTGGTTGTTTATCATGTCGTGAAGGGATCATTTATGGGATGTTGTATTCCCAAAGTATGCACCAACAGACTGTAATTTTACTCAGCACTATGGGTATTTTCTATTGGCGAGGAAAAGTTTTTGGGTACACTAGAGAATTTTGTTTCCAGCAGAAAAACTGTGTTTGACATGAAGTTGTTGTCAAGTTTAGAATTTGAGGTTCTTCTAACAAAACTGAGTTTTAAAGATATAGCGGATATCTACAACACGATTCTCAGTCATGAAGAATCTGACAGTGGCAAGGGGAGTGAAAATGGGGAAGAAAGCGGCGGAAGGTAAAAAGATTTTATAACATAATTCAGATAACCCCTCTATTTAGTGTACGTACTGCCAGCAATTGACATTTTCCATTTTCTTATTTATAAGGTTTCTTTAATGTTATGGTTGGGTAGCATCCAGTTTCACCATTCATCAAATAAAAGTATTTTTTTTATGAAGTTTGATGAAATGAACAATAGTTTGTGACTATCGCCCTTTTCATCTGTTAAGGCAGTTCTTAGTAACAGAGGATATAACTGCAGGAAAAATAATTATCATAAAGGATGATGTTAATGTCATGTTTCAGGCAATTGAAAGAAGAATTGCATGGGCCTTGCAAACTGGGTTGAAGGAGATTAGAAGAGGGCCTACTCCTCTTTTGGTGTTTGAAACGATTTCAACAGTATAACTTGGAGAAACTGAGTGAGACTGTTATCAATTGAAAAATTTCATTGATACCAGGGCCTTACGTGTAAAAGGCGTGGGTTTTTTATTTATTCCCTCAAATCAGAGGGAGTCGTCTAGCTTTTAAAGCTTTTAATTTAGCGCAACATGGCTTATGGACAAGCTACCTGGGTGTAATTTCAATAACTTTGAATTATGGTTGGAGTCATTATTTATCGCATGACCTATCAAGGCTCTTTTGAGCTCAAAATTCTATTTTGCAAAATGGCGCCACTTTTAATTATCATCATAGTGATGATACTGATACGTATATCATTTCTGTGTCCAACCTAATTTTACCTAATTTGTATATGTATTCTTTTGTACGAAATTTCATAACTTTTCACAGTCATTATTCTACTCAGGTTTTGCTGCAATAAGCCTTAATCCTTAAGATATGGATCACCCCTCAACTTTTCAAGGAAACTGAAAATTGACCCATGCCTTGATTTCCTTGCATTGTCACGTTCATGAGATGATCACAAACCCCTATGACATAAACGTGTCATCTGTCAAGCTTGCATCTGTATAATGTAATTGATGTACTTGAATTGTTGTGTTGTCCCTCATTGTACTTTAGTTACTTTAGTTTACTTTGCATGTTTGTTGAAATAAAAGAGTATTTTGGACGCAGCCATTTAATTAGGCATCAACATAGTTTGAAACAAGTGTTTTCTTTTTAAAGTGGAAAATTTTATTTTGTCTTGCCAAATCCCACATAAAAAAAGCAGTTTTAATGTTAGTTAACTGGTGTGTCACGGGGGGGAATTGCAAGGAAATTCCTCATGGCGACATTCCAGTCCCCACATCTCCACTGAGCGACATTCTTTCCTTTAGATATGACTGTACGTCACCCTTGTGTAAGCCTTTCCTTCACTTTTGCTCGAGTGTAAGCTGGCTCCAGCTGGATTCTGCCTCGTGTGTGCACACCTGTTCAGGGATCCACAAAATTATGTCTGTGCACCACGATGTTATGGGCGCTCATGTACCGTAGAGAAGCCACTCTCCTGTAGGCTGCCCAGTCATTGGTGTGCACTTCTGTTCCTGGCCTGTTGCAACAATGAATAATTTGGACAAGATTGGCCGCATCGCATTAAATTTACGGCAAATTCTGTGCAAAACAAACTGTCCCTAACAAGCGAATATATAAGGGCAATGTATGGGGCAAGGGCAGATCCACCTCGGGACATGAAAATTGTGCTAAGCTGACCAGTTTCATAATGTACAAGCACTTAAACTTTTGCCGATCCCAAAAATGACACTTGAACAAAGATAACGAGAAGTGCCATTTACATGTCGCAAAGGTAATGGTACTGGTTGTCATAGCTGATAGTCTACTTTACCTCAAATAGGTCAATGAGGTGCTGGCATTCTCTTATCGCAGCCTCATCTTTCTTCCTCAGAGCTGATGTTTTAAGCACTTAAGCACACTGTTTGATGCTGTGCCCCAGCCAGTGAGGGGACACTTATCTCCAATCGAGATTCTTTCTTGAATCCACACAACTCTTTCACTGCAGCAACTAGCTCATCGAATTGTGCAGTGTCTATGTAGTCGTTCAGATTGGCAGCCTTGTTTTCTTTTCATAAAGTCTGAAGGAGCCTGGCTAACTGGCACATTCTTTGGGAAACATAACTTATGTGGCAGTTATTTAGTCGGTTCTCATGGTGGGAAGGACGTTGTCATGGAAGCTCTTTTTCACACATTTAGTAGACAATACTGTTGTTGGCAATAGAAGCTTAGCTTCTTGCTGTAGCCTCGACCGTTTTGGAGGGGCTCTTGACCAATGGGGACAATTTTGTAGGTGCCTCCAGAGCTCTGATGCCATGAAAAATCCCATAGAACTCAGGCAAGGCAAGAAGTTAGCCCCAATCCATTCTTCTACTTTTGTTGGCATTTGTACCTCAATTAACTCTTTCTCACCTAGGGCCAACATGTTGCAGTTGTGTTGGTAATCACCCAAGAAGCGAAGCTTCTCAAATGCCAGATCTTGCTCCTGGGTCATTTCCATGGCCACTGCTCTGCTACCTCTGATTCACGTTTATGCAGTCTTGTTTGGTGTCTTCTGACCTTTTTCTGCAGCTTCTTACAGAACAAGCACACATGTTTACAGAAGTATTTTCGAGGTCTTCCCTACAAAGAGAATTGATGGAATTAAAAATAAATATTATAGAAGATTATGTAAATTACTCATAACGACACTCTGAGGGATTTGAGTGTGAATATTACAGCTGGCTCAGTACGATTCTTTGTAATAAATTGTCGTTTTCAAAGACGCTACTTGAACTGGAAACAGATTTGGTTATAAACAAGAAGACATGAGGCTATATAATCCCATACATTTCAGCCGTCCTATATTTCCTATTTTTCCTATTTATTTTATAGGATCCTATAAAACTCCTATAATAGGCCAAAAACTCCTATATTTCCTATAAATACTGCTTAAGTTATAAGTAAGAAAATAAAGCGAGCGTGTCCAACAGGTCAGATTCAGTTTCAATTGAGTGCACTCTACTACAGGCTGTGTTATGCTGTCACCTGTGGTTTGATATTATTCTTGTGGTTTAAAATGTCTGCTGCCAGCCGAGAAGATTATAAGGCAGTGCAAGAAGAGATGGGTCCTGCTAAGCATGAGTTCCTCAAACATGTAGAATGCAGATGGTTTTCCCTTCAACCAGCAGTGCTGAGAATTTTGGAGTAGCTGGAAGGGTTAAAGAGGTATTTCCTTACAGTCTTACCTGAGAAGCAACCGTCTGTCACTAGCATTCAACGGTACATCAGAATCACACATTAGCTTCAATCAGATGACTTGGTGGCGCAAATGCACTTTTTAATCTCTGCTACTGACAGTTTTAACTCCTTTCTGAAGTTTTTCCAGAGTGAATAGTCTCTCATTCACTTACTTTATGACCAACTTGCCACTCTCCTGAAATTGCTGATGGGAAGGTTCATCAGGAAAGAACTTTTGGCAAACAAGCCTGCCAAAGAATTCTCAAAAATCAACTCGGAAGTCTTTGAAAACCATTTGGCATTTTGGCAAAGAATTGGGAATTGGTGAACAAACCAACAGAGAAATTGAAAAGGTTTCAGAAGAAAAACAAAGGAAGTTTGTCCTGGAAGCCAGATCTTTTCTCATAGCTGCAACAAAGCATCTAGTTAGCAAATTACCACTTGACAACATTATACTGAGAAGCAGCAAGGCACTGAAACCTGATGCCAGTTCAGAAGATTGGTCACTAAAGGCAATTAAAATACTGGCTAAGGAGCTGAAAATAAGTGTGGATCTGGACAAACTGTCTGATAAGTGTAGAATCTATCAACTAGAAACTATAACAGAAGATTGGTATAAAGAATTTGAAGAGCCACAGAAGTTCATCCGTGTTGACCACTTCTGGAGAAAGATTGATGACCTGAAGGATGTCATGAGTGAAAAGAAATTCCCATCAATTATGAAGGTTGTGAAGACAGCCCTTATTCCTGGACATGGTAATGCTGAGGTTGAAATGGGATTTTCAGAGAGTGGAAAAAGTGTTACAGATGACAGAGTTCGTCTAAGTGAAGCATCAATCAATGACATCCGTGCAACAACAGATGGGCTGAAGGCTTTTAAAGGTCCTGGTTCTGTGCCAATCACAAAGCAACTCCTTCAGCTGGTCGTTCTGCACATGCTCACTACGTCTTGCATCTAGATAAGGACAAGAAGGAGAAGGAAGAGGACCAAAAGCAACTTACTCTTCAGAAAGAACAAGCAGCACAAATGGAAGCACAGAAACAACAACTTGCCGTAGAAAAGAAGGACCTAAATAGCAAAGAGAAAGAGTTAGAAAGGCAAGAAGCAGCTCAGCAAGAGTGCATGGAAGTTGGGGATACAATCTTGAAGGAGGCAAATGCAAAGTTGCGAGCTGCCGTGAGGAATAAAGATTTTTAGGAAGTATCGGTTGCTCAAGCAATGATTGAAGCTGCAGAAAAGATCAGTAGTGCTAACAAAGCGATGCTGAAGACAAGGGAGCAACAGCAGTCTGTTTCAGAACGAAAGCAGACCATCATAACACCTTTCTGTCACAGCCTAGCAAGCCAAAATTCAAGAAAACGTAAATGATAAGTTCAAGACTTGAAAATGATTAACAGACTTATTGTACACTGTTGTAGTTTTGTTTGTACGTGAAGTTGATAAGATGTGGATGGAATGTGCTCCTACATCTGTATCCAGTTTTCATGAGAATTTACATTTTTGAAGACGTTAGGTTCGAGGGCATCTTCATTTGATTAGAAACTGTTAAAGCAATCTTATTGCTGTTGTTGTTAAAAAACCTTATTTTTGCTGGGAGTTGAACAGAAAAATGGATGCATCAAGCGAAGGTTTATAGAACTTATATTTAAGTGTTTTCTTACTCATTACAAATAAGTTGCACATTGGATATATAACTATTGTGTATCTAAGTAATATTTCAAACTTATTGTGAGTGGTTCAGTTTTGAAAGTTTTAAGTGATCACTGTGACCATTGAAACTGTGACCATTGAAACGCGTGAAGTAAACCATATGCGCAGTAAAGCCAAAGACAAGATCAAGTTTTCAAAGAAACTCCCACTGTAGAGAATGAGATTACCTTTTTTTCACTCATATCATGCAAACAGATTGTAAATACAACTGCTACATACTTTATTGCCTGAACCAGTTCCATGACATTCAAGTCAGTGATACTGTACAATATTATGTCATGTGCATGGTTGAAACAGACTTCCTGATAATGCCTTTGTTATTTTCATTTCCTTTGAAACTAAAAACACATTTCCATCGGACCAATACATGACCGCATTTTCAATAATGCATTTGTGGCTTAACCAGATTACAAAAAAATCTTTGTCCGGAAATCAGGGTAATTCGGACAGAGAACTTGTGGTGTTATCCATCTTAAGTGCACTGCCAGTGTTAAATTGCCGCTGAGTGTCACCTTGGATTTATTCATTTGAGTTCATGGCCATAAGTTAGCGTGCTCAAGAATAAGAGCAAAATACAGTCCTAGGCAAGGGTAACAGTGAGCTGCAACATGGACAACTTCATTTTCTGATTATTTGACTGATATATGACTGTACTCATCTACTGTGGTCATACATAACCAAGACAAACTTAACACCATCCAAAACACGTCAAAATGGCAATTTGCCTTGCTTTTGTCTTGCTAGCAAAATTCACTTCATGGTCCATGAACTCAGAAAGGACGATTGTAAAATAACACACTTCTATGAAATTCCAGCTGATTTGGGCTTCCTAGTGTCCCAAGCCAAAAGCTAAGTTCTAACACTACACAGTATTGTTTCTGTTGGAGAGACTGCATTCATAGCTGTTTCTCATGACCTACAGTATCCAACAATCTAGACTACCTTATTGCAGAAAATTCATGCCAGGTGTAAAAATCATTTTGTATTTACCCCTCCCCTGCTAAAAACTAAGGATATTGAACAGCGAGGTGAAAGAGAGTGTGTTGGTCAAATTATTATTGAGTCTGTGGACGAAACCCTATGGTGTTGCTGTTTTAACTAAACCTGAAGACGTGAAATTCAAGCTTGTGAACAGTAAGTTAATTCGTCTTTCTTGAAGTTCGTACATGTACTTTTGTGGCACCATAAATTACATGGTCATGTTTACTTTGCTTGTGAATAAATAAAACGCAACAGGAAGACGTGCCTTTTTGCAGGATAGGTTTTCAGATAAATCTTTTTCTGCCGTTGGAAGCAAATTTGCTGAAGACTTTGAATTTTTTGTTTTAATGACTCTTGAAAACTATCACCAAATTTCGCATAGTGGTCCTTGGTCTGCAACCTGTGACTTTGGTGTGATTACATTTTGCAAAATAAATGAAACCTTTTGATTGATAAAAGGGATGTGTTAAAATATTCCTTATACATGTTTCCAAGTTCTCTTTTCTTAATATCTTGAATACATACAGAGTTTTTAGTAATTATTTTCTACCACATTGAATATATTCTCTATATTTTGATTTTTCATAGAGTGAGAAGGTGCTGTATTGTTTATTTTTACCTACGCAGAGCGCTAAGTATTAATTTATAGCATAATTGTATCTCTTTGCCTATAATGTGATGACTGGATGCTCTAAAAAAGAATAGAGAAAATTATCCAAAAAAAAAATTTCAACAAAAGAAAAAGAAACTGGTCTTGATATTCAACACCGGGTTACTGCTAATCGGTCTTCGAACAACTTGGCCTAGGAGTTTTCCAAACCCTTCCATTCCTAAAGGTTAACCAGTGTGCAAAATTGGAGAGAAAGTTTTATAGCATCAAACACAGAAAAACGAACAGTACTACCAAGGAGCAACAGAAGAAAAGCCGAAACTTTGCCATATGAAAGAAAACTAATGAATAAATTGTCGGCTACATTCATTTTTTACCTACTTTTTTTTCTAGATGAAATTTTCAACATGTTCAGAAAAGTCGCGGACCAAGGACCCCATACTGTGCATTATGTTTTCTCTATAGATTTAAGAAAATAAGAACCTGTTTCAAATTTTAGGCTAAACACTGGTTCTTGTACAGAAGGCAAACCTTGTGTGACAAGTATGTGACATTTATAATAATTAATAATGATATTATTATTAAATAATTATTGATTACTCAAAATTACTATCAAACCATTGTTTTTATTGTCTCATATCTCCTTAAATAGTATACACTTTCCATAAATGACTTGTAGCTTTAATAAGTGTTTATGTGAGAAAGGCAGACATGCTAGTCAACAGAACAATTAAATGAACCTTTTTTTCTCTGGAATTTACATGAAAATAGAGTTAAGTAATCCCATCTGTGGGAAAAAAAATTTAGCAAGCTATTTCAGATTTCTCAATTTCAAACTGTCTTACTCCTCTATGTAACACAAAGTTGAAAGTCTTGGAAATTCTCCTGTTGGCAACTACATGCTGCTATAAATATTGACTGTTGATTTGACTGGGAATTCACTGCACCTGCCACTTTGTTTACGTCAAAATATAGTTGCTCAATATCATCTGGGGGAAAACTATTCAGCCAACTATTTTAGGGATAAGTAAGTGGAATATCAAAATTAATTGCTCTTTAAATACTTGCATTTTTCTCCTATTATGTCTCTAGATCTTAACAACAAATTTAAGTCTACTGTATATCAATATGAAAGAAATCCTTAATATTCACCCTCCAGAGGTGTTAAGAAATGCAGAACTAATGCACTGAAAAGAAAATTCTTTGCTTGCACATTAGGAGCCAAATCTTTGGATTATAGCCTCCTCATCCGCAGTCCTCTCTGAGGTGAAGAATGCTCTCCAAGGGGACGCTGGAGGAAGTTTTCTCCGAATGGCAACTATTGCAGCTAATTTTGACTGTTGATTTGGCTGGGAATTCACTGCACGAGCCACTTTCCTCAAATCATCCCAGAAGAGAGAGTGCCCTGTGACCAACTGGACACACAGAAGTTTTGGCAACAGCTGGGCCAACTGGCCGATATGCTTCATGCACTGCAATCTGTTCCTCTTGCAGTCAAAGATTTTACACAGATGATCTTTCACCTTGGTCTTCCTTTGTACTCTCTCAGCTGGAGACAACTGACAAGGCATTGCAAGAGTGTAAATTTGGTGCAATGCTGTGCTGTTTGCCAACAGCTGGGTCATGTGTGAATTTTTACTACTGTGTTCTCTGGCCATTAGGGCACATATCCCAAGGTGTCGTGAAAATACATCACAGACAGAATAAGTGATAGTTTCTGCACATGGGGTCTCTTCTCTCTGTGTGATTTGGAAAAATTGTGCTCCCTTGAGGCTGCGTGTCTCCTCAGAACAGTTGCATTTTTAACTGCAGATGCCAAAAAGAGTGGCCATCATTTGACTCGCCTGTGTCTTTTTTATCAGAGACAGCTGTGCACTGGTTGCATCATGCACTTGTTCTAGATCGCCTGGCCAGACACTGGGGGAAGTGTCAGTCAAAGCAGCAAGGACTTGGTACCAATGCAAGAAAAAGAATTCATAGTAGTTAATATGTCATTTATGTACTTATTTTTACAGTCACGAGTTGCTAGAATTAGTCACATATACCCAGTTCAACTGTAGGCAGTGGTGTATTTCGTCATAGTATTTGTGAAAGATTTTTTGGCAAAATTTGTCAAGGATATGCCACATTTTTTAATAATAATACTGGGTAGGTAATATTGATTGTCATGTTATGGACTTTATATTTTATCTGAAGTGTTTGTGTGCACTTTATAGTACATTTTGGAATTTTCTATCAAAAAGCAAGTTCCTTTGCGATGTAAGAGTAAAGTGCACAGCAAATTATTCTTTCCTACCTGCTGGGCAACTGGATTATGGTTAGTAAAGAAATCGCCTAGTCTTTTCCAACTGTCAGTGTCTGGAAAGACGTCCTTCCTCAGTCCAGTTATATTTAATGACTCCAAGTGAAATATGTCATCTGTTGGTGTAGATTGTGTGTTTTCTGTAAACTGCCTGTGTGAGGAACATACACATACATGTACAATATTTCTCATTATCATCATTCAATGGCAAATCTGATGTGATTGCTTTGCTACTCTCTGACCATCATGAATCAGAAACAGATAGGTTCAATATTCAACCCATTTGAACTGAAACTCTGACCCCATCTTTATTAGCTATGACTACAAAAGAGTTTGTATTATTTTGTTGCTAAAAATAAATAAGTTACATAAGAAAGTGTATTATAATCTTTTGGGAGAGTGGTCGTTAAAATAGGACTTTTGTTGAAAGTGACTGACATTTTTATCACGTTTGCCGTTAAGTCATCTTTAAATTCAAAGCTATAGTTGTATCATACCAGTTAGTAATGAAAATAATAATTAATAATCTCTATAAAGGACTGAAAACGAATTCTAGCTGGAAGAGCTTATTGGGAGACTTAAAACGTCTATCAA